CGCCGAGCCCCCACCGGACCGGCGAGCAGGGCCCTGTTGCGCTTCAGAGCTGCCACTTGGAAGTGACAGAAATAAAGCTGGCTTTCATGGAGAAAAGTGCTCGCTGCCTTCTGGCTCTGTCTCAACGCTCGGGGGGTATCTGCTTACACACATGTGCAGGAGGGTGTGCCAGGGCTTCAAGCATTCCCCATACAGGGGCACATCGAAATGGAGCTCTCCTAAGAAAATGGAGTGCAAGTTCTCATCATCTGATGAGATGGGGAGATGAGGGGGAGATGAGCATGTTAGACTTCCATACAGAATAGCTGAAAACCCTATATCCACATTAACCTTATGAGAGATTTGCCTCAAGTCACGTGCTTGTAGTATCTATGTACTTCTGAAGTACTGTAAAAGAAGTAAATTCTATTTATGAAGTGATATATTAGGACTATCGTGCTAAAAGTTCAGCATTCTCTGAAGCAGAATAAAGGTACATGTAATGAAAATCAATTATTAATGAGAACTTATGGTAGTAATATACTTTTTAAGATTTATAGTGGCAGATGCTTTAGTTCAAGAGGCTTGGAAGTGTCTGCAAAATCAGTATTAATCATTTTAATAACAACTTGTTTATATATGGGGGGAGCTTTTTCCTAAGGTCTGCATAAAAAGAAATTGCTTTAGCAAGGCTAGCAAGTACATTAAAATACTAGTGTAAGCCATCTTGTAAAATGGAGTAATACTCTAATTTTACTACAACTAGGGAAATACACTTTAATAATTATGCAGAGCTACATGTGGCATGATGGCTAACTGGAATATCAAGATATAGCTGAATAGATTCTGTTCTGAGACTATGTTGGCTGCTGTAAACACTAGTTTAAAATCTAGTTACCAGTGATTTTGTGTTTGTGTGAAATCACACTGCTTTAGAGGAAAGCAGTACTACCTTATGCAAAGGTGTTGATGCACTTGTTCTCGTTTGATAATGGCATAAGAACAAATTTCCATTTGAAGAAGAAAAACTCTTAAGCTTCAGTGTGCAACACACACAAAAAAAGATACTTTTAATTGTCACATTATTGCGAGACATTGCTTTAGTGTCACAGTTTCAATTTTAAAACTATATACACTTCAACATAATTGGAGCTTTAATAGAAGTGCCCTAATGCTTGTGAGTCTTTGAACTGCTGTGAAATTGCTTCAGTTCCGTCTGTAAATCATGTAAAGAAATTACATATTTTGGAACACTGTAACACTTTATCTATTCTTGGAGCTCTTTAAACTTTCTATTATTTTCAGAAGTGATACTGTATAAATTTGGCCTTGGAGAGGTTTCCTTAAAAGATACAGCAAAAAGTGTCTATGACGTTTTGAACTTATACAGCAATTTTTTTTGACAAATGAACCTTTCTGCAGGTAGACTGCAGGAGCCTTGAGAACTTGTCATCACTAATTTCTGTTTCAGATCGAAGAACTTCTAAGATCCTTTTCTTTCAGACTTACTACAGATACTTGCTTTGTACACTTATGTACTGCAAAACTGCATTTTTTGTACAGGGCGTGTCTGTTAGGTTCTCTACTAGTGCTATTTAATTGTAGAGATCTGAACTTGTCCTCTAGATAGTTCCAGTTAACTCTTATAGTTTTAAAGAGTCAACATCATCTTTCATTGAGTGATTCTGCTTATACAGCTGTGGAGTGAGGGAGGAGAAAGTTTATTCAAATGAATCTTTCTCAGAAATTCTTTGAATGCACATCAGTTGCTAACTGTTATTAAACAAAAACTTCCTCAGGGTTAGTTGTGTATTGGAACCTCATTTAAAATCTATTTCTGGAGGTAGGAGAGGTGTTTTCATGTTCTAATGACAGTACATTGTCAAGTGGCTGCTTTCCTAGTAAAGTGTAATTTCTGTTTGGCAAGCTGATGCCTTTGTTAAAATTGTAGTGCATTCAGAAAGAGCCAAACAAATACAAGAAATACTTTGAAACCTCCCAAACCTAGATTGGGCATTGTGCATTTGTGGTTCTGCTGTTAGTAAGGCCAGCTTAATGTCTTCTGACCCTTTAATTTGCATAATGTATACATGCTTATTCTATCAGATTCTGCTCTTCTATAACCAGAAGACCTGTTCCTATGTAACCTTTTTATGACGACACACTAGTGAATACACATAAGAGCAGAAGAATACCTCATATCAAAAGACTTCGTGCAATAGATTTTATGTTCATTTTCTTATATATACACTCTTAAAAAATAATGAATGTCATCCTCTCTAAAAATATGTATTGGTAGGTGGGAAGGTGTATTTCTTCTTTCTGTGAATGCACAAGCTAACTTCATAAATATTCTCTCTATATATGTATCTGTAGGAGTATAGGTCTACACAGCTAATAAGAAATTCTTCTCAATGAAGCCAAGAAGAAAGGGAAGTGAGTTTTGCTTCAGCGTCATTGTTACTAAGAATGCATGATCCAAGTGCATAAATGCAGTGCCTCACTAGTAATTCAGAGATACTTTACATGGAAAAAATATAGTACCAATTTCCCCAAAATTACAGCAATCATTATTCTGAGATGTTTTGTTCTTTCAGTTTCTGTTATAAACTTTCACATATAAATGAACTTGACTAATCGTTAAAGGAAACTGTTTTCAAAGACACTTCATGTGTCACTATTCAAACTCCATGCCCTTAATAATGGCTTTCTCGTATTTTTGAGTCTTTACACTATGAAGGAAACACATGTTTTTAAAATACAGGTATTTTAACTCGAATAGGTGTATCTTTAAGTTCACTCAGAAATATTCTTACTTTAAAGATGGTCTTCTCAGGGGAATTTCAAGGCACTTCCCTAAACAAATATAGGAGAGTGTAAAAACTTGCTGTTGCAAGCTAGTCTGGATTTTGTCCATATGAATTTAATTCTAGCTTCTAGAGTTTTTCTTCACTAAGATGTATGCAAAACCAGGAGTGTAGGCAGGGAACCTATATTCTGGTTTAGAGAGAGGAAAACAAATTGTTTAGAAGGCTATTGTAGTAAAGCTGTGGGGGAAAAATAAGCAAATTCAGATAAGTATGCCTTGTATGCTGCTCTGAGCATTTAAAGTGTAGGGTTGTGACTTTTCAAGAACAAACAGTTGCCCTCTGTGGCATTGTTACTTACCTGAAATTTCAAGTTTAACATTGCATTAACACCAGGTTGAATTTCTTGCATGTTACCTAAATTAGCCAAGGGCTTTATCAGAACCTCCATGTACCAGGTGCTACTTCATGGTTGCTCTTGCTTGAAAGGCAAAAAGTAAACTGGACAAGAAGCATATTTTCCCTGCTAGCTAAAGGCTTAGGCATGTTGATTAAAATGACTGTTCTTTTTTTTTCTCTCTCCCACCATTGCAGTGCTTGCAATCTGTGTCATGCCTATTCTGCTGCTAATTGTCAGAATAGGGCACACTAGCTGATGAGATTGCAGGGGTTCTGCCTCAGAAGGAGAGGATGAGAGTGTTACCTCTCCCCTTCCCAGGGATGTATTCCAAGACTTGCACAGTGTATCTGCCTTCCCCAGGGTTGTTGATGAGGGGGAGTCCCCATGCACTCGTGGGGAGCAGGGAGATAAAACTGTATATGCATATATATGTATACACACACGCATACACCCACTGGCCGCAGAAGATAGAGCTGTCAAACTTCTCAAGACATGTATCAGACTGACTTGAAAGCTGAAACCATGAATCCTGCCTGTAACCTCTTACCAAGGCTTTTTTGCTTGTTGATACACTTTTTTTTTTCTTTTGTAGCTGTGTATTTTTTACAGCTATTTGATTTTTTTAAGCTGTTTCTTATTTCTGTAATGCATTTGGTTATATGTGCTTCATTTAGTTCTGAAAAACCTTTTGAAGTGAAAGGGTGGGCAAGTCGAGCTGAAGTTTGTGTTCCATTGTTGATTCTAGATATGCATGCAAATGTTTGTTACTGTTTTATGATTGGAGTATGTTACGTACTATACATTCTGTATGGAATTCTATTAGTTCTAACATTTGTGTGTGTATATGTATCACTGTCTTGTGACTTATACTACTAATGTCTTGTAAAATATTAAGTTGTGTAGTGAAGTTAGAAAATAAGAGAATAAGTAACATTGTCAATGTAGCTCTGTTACATATTGGTGGTTCTGATTCTCTTGTTGAATGGATCCCTCTATTACCCTGTCAGATTGGTAACTATGTTCCTCATTCCTGGTGTTCAGCTTTCTTGGTGGAGGACAGTGGCGTGTGCAGTGTATGATGCTGTGACCTGTTTGACCGAACTCACTTAACTTACTGTTCCGGAGGAAACAAGGATTTCTCATGTCTGCAGCCCTATCTTCATAACTGTATTCCACAATTCCCTACCTATAGGAAGTGAAATCACAATCCATTCACTGTGGATTTTTTTTATTTGTTTGTTCTGAAATTTATTCAAGGATTTTTCTGTTGCTTGCTGGTTGTATATTGCAAAGTTTGAGTATTTAATGTTTTAATTTTTCAGTAGGTGTTCAGTTTTTTTTTGATTCGCAAAGCTGACAAAGTTGGGATTTGACCAAATGATGAAACACCGCTCTGAACAAAGGATTGTCAGGTCAACAGAAATCCTAAGGCATCTGCATTAGAAGTTGGGCTCAATTTTACAATGATGTCATCTCCAAAACCCCTGCCTCATCTAAATTGTTGTTTAATGAAGTTTCCTGATTTTTTTTAAAGCTATTTCCATACTAAGAAAGTGCCTGGGCTGTTTCTGTGTCCTGGAATGTGACTTATACCATTAACTCTTAAGGAGTGTTTCCTTGCCTTTTGACAAGTCCCACCTACCAGTTTGGAGACAGTTCTGGTTAGAGCATTTCAGGACTACTCCACTAGGGTATTTTATATCTGGCTTTTTACTGATGGCTTGGAGTGTGTTCGACCTTGCGCGTGAGCTATTCTGTACTGGTTGGTCTTCATTATATGGAGCTGCTCCCTGGCATTTTGAACTTACCGGTACAGATACAGCTAGAGTCCAACCTGATCACTTCATGGGCAAGACTGATTAGTTTTACTGTCCTTTTCATGCTTTGTAAGTTTATTGTGTGCATTTTCCTTCAGAACATTTTTGGAGATAGCATTGATAATCTCTGTATCTTGGCCTCATCATTAGATTTCCTGCTGTGATTTTTTTTGTGTGTGTGTGTTCCTTTAGTTGAAGGGCGCTCAAATCCATGCCCTTCAAATTCCAGCATAATGCCATAAGCATAATTTTAAGATGAGGGTAGATGTCTGTCCTAATGGAGGATCCAGTTTGGGATGGCTTTTTCTTGTTCCCCTTTGATGCCCTAATCAGAGTTATTGTTTATTCCTGAATGTCCCTCAGGCAGTTCTGTGCTGGAGGGAAGAATTCAAACCTTGGTCAGTTTTACCAAAGTTAGTGTGCTTTACTTAAATGCACTGGTTTTGATGACTTGAAGTATTCATTTGGGGAAGATTTCCTTGCCTAATCTAAGTGCCATCTGCACACTTAGGTCATACAGTGTGTCCCCTCCACTTCAGGAGGACAAGGATCTCCTGTATGTCCTGTGTCATGTCTGCCAACCCGTGTGGTTGACTCATTCTGAAGTGTCTCAAAAGCTACTAGACGCCTGTTTTTAAGCACTGGAATTGGTGCCTCTGAGAAAAATCTCTGATGAACTCTGCTGGTATAAAAGCTCATGTGGGTTTTCGTAAAAGAAAAACTAGTTCATTTGGATGCAGTGCTTGTGAACTAGTCCTAAGAGTTTAGAGTTTTGAATTGCTGCTCCAGGTTCTTTTCTACAGATTATACTTCAGCAAGATGCACTGATTAGAAACACCAGGGTTTTCAAATGATAAAAGGTGTTTTGCAATGAGCTCATACAGTATGAGTTCATACAGAGGTAGGTAAGATTGCTTTCATGTCAGTGAGATGTAGATGACTCTGCATTGGATGGTGGCAGTATTGCCTAAACTATTGCTTATGAGTTAATTTAAAGATTTTATATTTTTAATTTGAGATTTAACCAATTACAGCAGAGTTAGTGCTGGAGAATTATCTTGGAGATCTGTTCCATTTAGCATTCATTAGTGTTTGAATTATTTCGTAGAAATGCATACACCTCTCTGGTTTTGCTTTAGATTTTTTTTCTTCCCCTAGGTAATCTGTATGTTTCTCAGGACTGCCTATTTTTTGAGTGTGTTTAGAGCAGTTTTTGAGCCTGTGTTGAACCCTTTCTTAAGGTAACATAAATTTTCCTCTCTTTCGATGAACACTTCACTGTTTACCCGCCATAATGATGCTGACTTCTGTCTTATATTTGTGTGAGCCACACTGTGCTATACTTACAGCACTATAAGTACATGTTAAATGCATGGGGAGCATATTTTTAGGTAAAAGAGCATCAAAAGTTGTAGGCTATAGGAGCAGATAACTAGTTTTGTAACTAACATTGGAGTTAAGTGTTTTAAGGGTGGGTCATTATAGTGGTTTCCTCCTGTTTTGACACATGAGCTGTAGCAGAGGAAGTGGTTTAAACTGCACATTCTGCTTCAATTTGGAGATGGTAACTATCACAGATTTTGTGATACTTAAAGGAATGGGGCACACAACTTGGCAAGCCTTCTGAGAATATGAAACGGGGATGTTTAATGGAAAGATAAAGACTGAAAAGGGTGAGTTTAAGAATGAGGAGTGTGTCAAAGCAAGCTCTGGTAACTCTACAAGCTAGTGTATTTTGTATTGAGTAATACGGAGTGTTTTAAACTGGGTTGCTGTTAAAAATTTATTGAGGAAAAATATTGGTAAGTAGTCAACATGTTTGGAAGTAACTGGTATATTCTTCCTAACTAGTCCACTATTAGAGATTTCTAATACTTGGGTTTATAAAGCCTTTTTCTTCCCTTCCTAACTTCCTAAACCCACAAAATCACTAGGTAAGGTGTGTTTGGCTTGTGGTGTTCTTTTTTATTATTATTATTTTTTTCTTTAATGCAAGTTTGAAAGTAAATTATAGTGACTGGACAGTTTTGTCTAGAGAAATTGAAATACAAAGCAGGAAAATGTCAGAAATCAAAAAAAAATTCTATAATGAGTTGAAGTTAGAAAATGCATATTTAATAAATATTTAGCCTAATATCTCCAGTTTTGAGAAGGTTTGAGTTTTACAAATATCTGTATTTCTGCAGCATTTTTCCTGGGCTCTGTAGCACAGCTATTCTTCTGAGGTCCTGTTGCAAAGACTCTCAGGAATAAGTGCAGCTTAAATGCGTCTAAGAAAACACAAAATGCAAAGATGTAAGAGAAAGGGCATTACTTTTTGGAAATTAGTTAAATACAACTTCTAAAAGCAAGTAATGGCAGTAGATTAACCTGAAAAAATTTCTTCCCTTTCACGTATTTGTTCAATCTAAAGTATGTCTCTATCAGGAGGAGGAACTATCAGATTATCTGTATCTTCAATTCATTCAGCTGAGCTGGGTGGGCTTCATTGCTGCATAAATTCCAGCTTCATTTGCTACTATAAAATGCCACTAAAATTGTTGATTTTAAGGCTAGAAAATACAATGCTAATTGTGCTACCTGGACAGGTTTGAGAATGGTATTCACTGGTTTTCCATAATGCCCAGGAACTAGTGCATAAGGTAGGAACTCTGTAAACGGTAATGAAAGATGTCACTTTTATCATTGATTTAATAATATGGATAGCCTAACTTAGAAAAAACAATTCTTTGGTTGCTTGCTTTCTTGTGCAACAATTCTAAAGCAAAAAGTTACCTATTTTGAAAATAGGTTATCTGGGTGTTTTTTTAGCTAATCCAGTGTTACAGTGCATGGCTAAATTCCTATATATTTCATAGGAAGGCCAGTGTGTCAAATTTATTTCAAAACTATAAATAAAACAGCTGTGTTGGTCTGGTATACTCCAGGGAGCTGGGGGAAAATAGGTGAAAAGTAAAAATTTGTGTCATCCTGTAAAAGCACAGTCTTGTGTTACAGATCACAGAGTGTCTTCAAAAGAAATAACAAGCCAAAACATGAGGAGGAGTTGACAGCTCTGTTTTTCGTGTTGGACAGAACGACTTATTAAAGACTGCTTACAGTCGAACAGTCTTTCAAGAATGGAAGTCTCTTACCTCAGGACAGAATTGGGGCCCATTGTATTTATTTTCCTGTACTTCACAGATTTTTTTTTTAACACCTTTTCCTGTGTTACTTTCTTTGTTTCAATTTGCTTTTAGAACAGGCAGAAAACCAAATATTTTTCAGTTGATTTATTGACAGTTTTCAGGGAAATGCTTCTTTCATTTGCATTAAGTAAACTGGAAAATTTGGGACATTCAGGGCAGAAAAATTGGGGCAGAAACAGGCAACTGAGCTATAAACAGCTTTTTAAAATCATATTTAGGCTTGATCGTCTCTTTATTCTACTGGACACCGGTACGACGCCAGTAACAAGAAAAGCAGCTGCACAGCAACTTGGAGAAGTAGTGAAACTGCATCCTCATGAACTCAACAATCTCTTATCTAAAGTAAGCATCTTTTTTTCTTTCTTTTTTAACATACTATCAGGTTGTTAACAGTGAAAGTAAAACTTCTTTTATGGAGTGTGAGCAGGAAGAAGAGGCAAAAAGTGTGTAGTATTTTACAGTATTCTCTGAAAAGGGATGACTGAGGAAAACTAGGAGGCTGCTTGTGTTAAACCTGCTGCCTCTTAAAAGTTCTGCTCCTGCCTTTAAAGATTGTTACATGTATGACATAAGACTAAAATTATAGGAGGCAGCATATCTTTGAAAGGACTGGAAAATGGAAACAGATTTCCGTTAGAGACTTGCATCTGGCCAAGTCCAGTAAAAACACCAGAAATAGTTCATGTCTGACAGCTGGAAACAACTGAGTGACCTCAATTCTGTACTTATTGAACAGGTGTCCTCACCACAATTGGTGCTATCAGCAGAGTGGCTGAGAAGTCATGAATAGCAAACCACTCTCAGTGAAAGGAACAGTTTTTCCAGATTCAAGGCATAGTGCAAAATTAGTTTAGAGAAGCATTTGTTGCTAAAGGTGTGACCCGTTTTGTCCCTCTTCTTGGGTAAAATTACTTCAAAGTTTTCAAGTCTATTAATCTTCTGCTTTCTGAAAGGAAGTGTTCAAAAAACAGTTTCAAGCTTAGTTGAATGCTTGGAGGAAATAGCCTATATCTTAAAAAGGAAGGTTTTTGTCAAATTTGTCTGTTGGGCCCTAAGTCATCTTAAAAGTTCTTACTATCCTGCTATTGCAAGGATATGGCAAAGAAATGGGAATGAAAAGCCCCTGCTCCCTTCATATTCTTGTCTTTTTTTTTTCCCCCGTTTTGTTATTGGCTTGATACATAATATTAAGTGTATTTTATATAGTGTTTAACAGTTTGTAGATGTTTTACAAGTACATTTTTCTTTTTTAAAGACCTAATTCATTGTCCAATCTCTCTTTAAAGGTGCTAGTATATTTAAGAAGTACCAATTGGGATACTCGTATCGCAGCTGGCCAAGCTGTTGAAGCAATAGTGAAAAATGTACCTGAGTGGAATCCAACTCCAAGATCAAAACAAGGTGCTTAAATTATGTAAAGTTGTCTGCCTCAGACTTCTCCGGAAAACTGTGCCTTTTTGTTTTTATGAGCACTAGAAGTGTTGATTGTAGTAAACCTCTTTGGCTTTAGATATTCATGTTCAGTTAATGTGCTTGACCTTTGCTTCTCTTAAGATTCTCATGCATATGCTCTGTACCCTCAGAAATTTTTATTTTTTCACTTGAATAATTAGTGAAGCAACCAAACTTTGAACCAATTATTTATGATAAATTTTAGACACTTTTCTCCTGTATTCTACTCCCCAGTTCCTAGCATCTGTCTAATGGTCACTTGCTGCAATCTGTTCTGACTGTATTCACTCTGCATCTGAAATTTCTGCATTAGGGTTGTTGGAGGAATATAGCCCTACTGCTGCTTTTGCCACCTTACTTACGAACCTATTATCCATGATTTTTGTTTAATTCTCTTGAACCTAATAATACTGTCTGCATTCACAGCCTTCTGTGGCACAGGATCCAGGAAATCATGAATCTGTCTCTTGTTCTTAGCTAAGAAATTCCCTTGTCTATTAAGCTGATCTCATACTTGTTTCATTCACTGGCTCCTGCTTCTACTACTATAAAACTTGATAATTCCTGCCTTTACCTTCATGATTTTTGTAAACTTTCATTGTAATTTTCCCCTCCAACTTTGTGCTGTCCAAGCTGAAGAATTGTAGCCTCCTCAGTCTCTCCTCACAAGACAGTTATTCCATCTTCTGGTTTACTCTATTTTCCCTTCTCTGTGCTTTATCCCACTCTTACCTTCATTTAGATGCATACTACAGAACTGCACATAGTGCACCAGCATCCAAAGTACTGGTATTTATATATTGTAGCAAAATGAAATACTTTGTCTTGGTTTTAGTGTCCTTCCTGATGAAGCTCAAGATTTATTCAACTGTTTTGTCTGTCACTGCACAATAGGCTGGTGAATACAGAAAATAGTCAAAAGCTTCAAGATCTTTATAGTGTGTTAACTGTCAGTTGTGAATTCAGCATTGTGCAGGCATGGATTAGGCTCACTGCAGCTTAACTGTAGTATTAACTGCTCTATCTGCAGCTGTATTTGAGAAGTTCTGTTAAACTAGTCCTCAGTAGCCTCTGGTAGCTGGCTTCTTCCCAAGCTTCAAGCTGGCCATATGTATGTACAGAGCAGATGTGTCAGTTTAATTATTTAAAAATATTTTTCCTCAATTAAATGCATTGTTTTTTGGACTTTTTTGGAGTCTTTGAATTCTGTGTATCAGAATACTGTATGTCTGGTCATTCCTTTGGAAGAGGATTTTCTTCCTCCTAATATACCTTCTCTTCTGTCTACTCTATGACCGAAAACAAGTTTCATCACTCTTTCATTAATATTATTTTCATTGTCTGTCTAGAACCAGGCTCCGAAAGTCCCGTGGAAGATTCACTCTCAACTGATCGGTTACGTTTTGACAGATTTGATATATGTCGCTTGCTGAAACACGGTGCATCTCTTCTTGGGTCTGCTGGTGCAGAGTTTGAGGTCCAAGATGATAAATCAGGTATATTTTTGTATTTGACTTGCAGATGAGAAAAGCTAGTGTTTTGAAAAAGTTTATGCTGGCTCTGTTATGTGTCTTGGACATCCAGGACTTTGAGGTATGCTAGGAAATATCAGGAAGGAAACACGCTCTAACTGGCTTATGTTTTCTTTCTTGAGTTTGAAGAGTTGAATTATGACTTCCGTAGCTTTCTCTGCAAATCTTAATAGTAAGATAGAGATTAGCTTTATTTCGCTATTAAAATTAGCGTGCGTATGCAGAACCTAAAGAAGGGAAACAAGCCATGTCAAAGGTTGCTGTAGAATTTATGTAGCCTTATTTTTGGGTGTTTAGGAAAAATCACTTGATTAAAATTATGTTTCTAAATATAATTAACTAGGATGCAGCTTTTCAAAAGGTACTCAGGTTTCTAATACAGAGTGGCACCAAAAAAATAACGGTGGTAAAGCTTTTAAGGTTGGGCTGTTGCCTATTTAAAACATTCGGTGTTATGATTCTTTATAGTTGTTAATAACTCTTTATAGGACGTGCATTCAATTGCTGTACAGTATGCAATGGTTGCTGTTTTGTTTTCATCCAAACAGTGGCTACTGGCCTTGTTTACAGCATAATCCAGGCTTTTCTCTCATGCTTAGAGTTGTGGCATTTGAGTGCTTCTACAGATGCTTAGTGTTTCCAGTGTCCTAGCAGGAAAGAGATAGAATAATCTTTTTTTCTCAGAGTATAGAAGGTCACTGATGCTTGATAAATTATGGTTTCTATTATGAGATCTTGTGCTTCTGTATCAGCGTACTTGCAGTGTTGGTCTTTGGATCATAAGAAATGTAAACTATGCATTCTGTATGTGTATGCACTATCTCTTGTTTAAGTGACTTATCTGGTATCTTTCTGGAGCGCTTCAATGGAATTCTTGAGTTATAGCCATAAAATGGCATTGAACTATTTTATTTTACAAGATTCTTGTTCTTTCCTTACCCTCCTGCTCTGCTCTGCTCCCAGTGCACTTTGTTGTTCCTGCACCAAATGAAATGGTGCTGTAGATAAGAAGCCACTCTGACTTCATAGCTTTGATTCATTTGTTCCCTGGGTGTGATTCATGCTGTGCAGTGTACACACAAGATTGCCAGCATGGGAAAGAGCAGCTGCCATTCTGCTGGTGTCCTGCCCATTAAGCTGCACTAATATTCTATTGCTTGCCACCTTTTAGGCTAGGTTAATTCTACAAATCTCATATTTTTTAATGAAATCCCAGCTTTTCAGACATCAGTTACATGGAATATGACACTTTAGTTGTTCATAGATCACTTGCATCAATGGTACTATAAATCATGTGAACAAAAATTAGCTACAGCTTTAGTTCTTGAATGTGGTTTTTTGTTGTTTTTTTGTTTGTTTGTTTTTAACTGGAGGGGCTAAATGTACGTAGGCTGTTCTCTCTTTCTGCATGTTCTGTCTGTTTCCCTTTAAGTTCCCAGCATGAATGAATATATAAAGCAAGTCACAGAATGAATTCATAGATTTAGTTTTTGGCACTTTTTTATAAAACAAACTTGTACAAGGAAAGTAAAATATTCTAGGGAATTGAAGCTGTTGGCATTTCTGTATTTGCCACTTAAATACTGAACAAAAAACAAGCGGGTTATTGGTTATTGACATATCTCAAACATGGTGTATACCCCAAATTTCTGTAATATTGGTATATTGGTAACCTATTTATGAATTTTTATTAAGACTTTCAGTGGATAATAGAATAGGAATTGATTCTCTTAACTGCTTTTTAGAAGCCCTTTAGAAGTCAAGTTTCAAAGGCATTACTGGCTTAAAAAAAAATCGATTTCAGTACCTCAATACTGCACGTGAGAACAGTGTGAAATCAGACAGACCTAGAAGCTACAAGTTCTGGTTTATATGTTGCAAACTCACTTGGCAAGTTTATCCTGCTAGGGCACTAAAATCCTCTTCTTACATGCACCTGAAACTGAGGTGTTAAGTACTTCAGGTGTTCATTTAAGCCTTGCGTGAGTCTTCAGGCAGCTGCTATGATCTTAAATGAGCCTTGCCTGACACAGGAAGTTGGAGGATTAGATTTTGAACAGGCTCTAGTACCTGAGGAAAATGTGTGTATGCCTCAGTCTTTGTTTCTTTTGGGTATTTCTAGACTGGGCAAAAGGGGAGGAGGCAGTTAGGTCCTATGCATCTGGCAAGAAATAAACTTTCTAAAGAAAAAGTTGGGGGGGGGATTATTTGTATATTTTATTACATATAGTTATGGTATTCTGTATTTATACATGTATGTGTTAAATGTGAGAGAAAACTCTTTACTGTGAGGGTAAAAGCACTGGAACAATTTGCTCAGAGGCTTTGTAGAATTTCCTTCCTTGGAGATGCTCAAAAGCCATCTGGACACAATCCTTGGGAACGTTTCAGTTATGCATTATCCAAATACAGGTTAATTCTGTGCAGCTTTTGGCTTTATGTTGTTAAGGATTTGCTCATTGAAATATGTGTCAGACTTTCAACCATATATATTTTCAACTTGTAAGGTGAAATTGATCCTAAAGAAAGGATAGCACGACAGAGGAAACTGTTACAAAAGAAACTTGGCCTTGATATGGGTGCTGCAATTGGAATGAATACTGAAGACCTCTTCAATGATGAAGACTTGGATTATTCTCCTTCTTCAGTTTCACTTGTTAACAAACAACCTGTAGGTAAAACGTTGGACCGTTTGTCCACAACAGAATAATAGCGCCTTATTTGTACTTCTGTATTTGCAATTCCTTATAATATAAATATAATGCTCAATTTTACAGCAAGCGAAAACATATTGTGTTTACTCTTAAACGCCATAGTTGTTCATGGGTCACATCTGATCTTAAACTGCTGGTCTGAATTTCAAATCATGGAGGGTTGGTTGGAGAAGTTGAGAGTGCCGTAGGTTTAGGGCTTCTTTCAGAACCTTCATTGTAGGAAGAATTGACAAGGAGAGATTTCTTTTCCAGACTCTTCAGGCTGCAGAGTTAATTGACTCGGAGTTTCGAGCTGGTATGAGCAGTAGACAAAAGAACAAAGCCAAAAGAATGGCTAAGCTGTTTGCAAAGCAAAGATCCAGAGATGCAGTGGAAGCCAATGAGAAGAGGTAAAGCAGTTTGCTATTATACTCTTTCTGTTAAGCAAGGATTATAATTTGGCTTGTCTGGAAGAACTTCCTACAGACAGTGTCTTAGTCTTTTTACATGTTAGTTGCACTGATGGCAAAACACTTGTGCCATACTTATTTCTAGCAGAGACTTTATTAAGGACTTACTTTGTAGGAGTCTTGAAATAGTGGGAGGCTCTTAGAAGTTTTTTGTCCTTGTTGTATTTGGCTTGAAAATACCACATGAAAAAGGGGGATTTATGAAGGTGATTAAAAATTTCAGGTATGCCTTTCCTGTGTATGTTTCCTTCTCCACTGTATTTTGTAATGACCTGTTACTGTGCCTACTATACTTTTTAAATGAGCAATGAACTAAGTTTTAAGAGTGACTTTTCTTTCTCCTTGTGCACTTTGGTTCCCTTTGAAAAAACACTGGGAAAGTGCAAATTTGGAATGGCCTCACTGAGTTTTGTTACTTATAACATCTACCAAAACTATATTTCAGAGTTATTAACTTGTTTTATATTTCTGACACATTACTGTTCCTGAAACTTGATTCGTAGAAGTAATTATTTCCCTTAAAACATACTTTCAGTTCACAAACTTGTATTTGTTCATTTTTAGTAATGATAGCACTGATGGGGAACCAGAAGAAAAGAGAAGGAAAGTTGCAAGTGTTGTCATTAACCAACCTGCCACAGACTCAAAAACATTGGTAGAAAATGCTCCGGAAGAGGTATAATGCCCTGCCTGATATTAAGGGTATTGATGATAATATCTGCTAATGTTGAGGGTATATAAAATAGGATTGCTTTACAGTTCCAGTTATTCTAGACCTGAATGAGTTAATCCTTACTTGTTTTAATATTGTGAGAAGTGAAGGTGTAAATAATGTCCATGCCACTTCAGTGTTGTATGTAGTGAAGCAAATGTGCTTCAAGTGGAAAAAGCACTGAGAGAAAATGCATGTAACACATTTGTATCAGTTTCACCCAAATAAACCTGAGCAGGCAGATTACATGTGTCAGACTAGTATTAATCTTAAATGTATGTATCTTTGGATAGTAAACCGTAAAACCGTGCTAAGCAGGTAAAGAAAATAAGATCGCACAGTCATAAACAATATATGTGAACATTCACATCAAATTTTATTTAGTCTTTGCCCTACTATACTTAGTCTTGATTTAGAATTAAATTTTACCTTTAACTGATGATCTAAACACTGGTGAAAAACTTGCACTTGCTTCCCTAGTATTTCTTACATTATTTCAGATTTTCAATTTATAGCAGAATAGAGCTGGTCCATATAAGTTACTTTTTATAGATAAGAATTTTTGAAATATCTTCCAAATAAAGACTTTTTCAAACATAGCTTAGTAGCTAAATTTTTGTTTATGAAACAATGATTTGGAAATGAACTTATTATGAAAGATTAATGTTATGGGAAGGCTGTGCTAGCGGGGTGTTGCCAGCCTTTTAAATACCTTGCCTTGTCTTTATGATGGTGTGAAGTTCCTGAACTTGGTGTCTTTAATTTCCTTTCTGTAGCTCTGTCAGTTTCCTCATAGGAAATCTCAGGAATGTTGGATATGCTCCTTTTGGTTTTCAGGCACATGGAATGTATTTTAATAAGGATGGTGTTTGTTGCTAGATCAGAGTGACCCAGCTTGTTTCTGTTGTATGATTTTGAAGTAGGGTTTACTGATGCTGCCTTTTAAAAAAACAAAGCTGATAAAGAATCACAGGGAAGGACATGAAGTTTTGCTTACTTTAAATATGATTCCTAAAGGGAGGTGGACTTCTACGTCATCAAAATTAGGATAGGGAAAAGGCTACGCAACCAACAGACAAACTTTATAAACCATGATCAAGCTCCAGTGCTAATCAGGAAACTTTTTGAAGTATGGAACAAGTTATTTTAATTTGTTACTGGGTAGAACTGCATAATCAAGCTTTTGGAAGTCTTTGTTATGTTTGCTTATTTAATTGACGTGCAATTAAGTAGTCTTTCCCTGATCCATTAATCTCATACTCGTGTTTTGAATGTAAATCCAGGCAAATGAGTGGCCTCTAGAAAGCTTTTGTGAAGAGGTGTGCAATGATCTCTTTAACCCATCCTGGGAGGTAAGACTTACGTGCGTTTTTTAATGGTATAATTAAAGCTTTTTTTCCCCTATCTAGAGTAGTAGATGTAAACAGAAATATGAAATCTATAGTATTTAAGAACACTTTCATAGATATCAGGAATTATATCAATCACAAATACAGCTTTACATAGGTAAGACAAATCTGATTTCAGAGTTTTTTTAAAAAAAATTATTTACAGGGGAAATGGAAATGCGTAGTGTATATGGAAGTAGAGAGCAGGAAAGATCTTGGTAGCAGTCAATATAAATGAGCGTTTTGGAAGTATTGAAATTTGAGGAAGATAAAAGAATATGAATCTACAGCTGATAGGATTAAGCATTTAGTGGGTTGAATTTATCAAGAGCTAGAAGAGCAGCATATGAGTGTACTGAAAACAGTGACGTGTTTGTCTAATGTTAAGTTAAAAAAGATGAAAAATAACTAACAGAAGATAAGTTTTCCTCTTTCATAAAAAGGGGAAGAAATTATTTGTAGCCTAAAAACATTAAATATCAGCTGCAGAAGCTATACATCTGATTGCTTTTGATAACTTTATTTTCAAGATTTGAAAACTGTTCTGCGCACCCTTTTATTCAATCTTCCAATTCTACCCACTTTGATATCTGTCCTAGAGGGGAAAAAAAGATTAAGTAGCTAACAATAGACTTCCCTTGAGCAGCAGCAGATGGAAGTAACTGTTGCCAACAAATATTAAAGTGGATGCTTTCAAAAATTAAATGTTAACACCTAGTATATCACTCTTTGCCATATTTATATCACAGGTTCAGTGATATCAAGTTGGCTCTGCTTATGCTGACCTCAAACTTGGAAGCACAGGGATAGATCATATGCAGCAAGCACAGTTATTCTGGGCCCATAAAAAAGGGTAGTTACATTCATGAGGTACATGGTTGCACCTGAACTATTACTAGCCTTATCTTATTTGAAAGCAGGCTGATGGCAAGGGGGCTTTTGCTTCAAATGCCTTCTTGTGGGATGCAGGCTTTCTCAAAGCCTTGCTGATATACTTGATATGGGCCTATATACGTCTTAACTGAGGAAGCAGATGAATATAGAATCATTATTATGGTATGTTCTGGGTGAAAAACTGGTTAAACTGCCTTAAAATACATGCTTATGGAATTGCCTTGTGGTGGCCTCTTGCCATGTCTTGAGGCAGCCTGGTTGACTAGTTGAGGCTACTTGGCTAGCTTATAGACAGCTAAATTCAAGTGAGATGAATCCTGCTATTGGCATTTCCTTTATATAGTTGTCTTTCCTGCTACTATTTTGCATTTTCAGAGGCTCAAAAGTTTACAAGCCAGAAAAGGAACATTTTGTCAGTGAAAACTAGCTCATAAGCAATCTCTGATGTATAAACAAATGTGTGTTATGAGTGATTAAGATTTTAAGACTGGGTTCTATGGGTTTTATTGGCTTGTTTAAGCTTGTACTAACAGCCACTCAGTTGTGCATATGGAGAAGTGTATGCTTTTGTACAGTTGTACTTCATCTGAGATGCCCTGGTTCTTGGAGAACCTACCAGCCTCTCCTTTCTGACTGTTTGGGGGGCATTATTGTGAAGTACTAAAAATAAAAAATTGTTCTGTACTTGTATATGAAGTACGCTTTATAGCAAATGCAGTGCAAGCTTTGCTTGAACCCATGTAAAGGCTTCTTAAGGAGAAACAGTTGAAAAATTATCTTTTGCAACCCTTAATGTAGCTATTGTACAAGCTTTTCTTGTTTAGCCAGTTACCTCTAGTGTGATAGCAAAAATACCAGAAATAAGTATACCTTTTGCACATCTTCTGATGTTCTTTAAAGTCCACAAATACATTAATTCTCCTTAGTGCATTCATCTGCTTATGTTTAGGAACATATAGAGATTAGTGATTTTTTTTTTTCCTCTTATAATTTGTTCACTTCTGATCATCAGTTTGCTTTTTTAAATACCTACCCAAAGGAAGGCAGGTTTGCATATACATGAGCTATGCAGAATATTAATTCTCAGGAACTTGTTCTGCAAATGCCCCAAAATACTGATTAGGAAATACAAAGTCTCGTGGTAAGAGGATGGTTTTCCTTTAGCTTAAACCTACTAGAAATAGTTTGTTTCGGAGCAGCCCCTTGTGCCCCTCCCTTCTGCCAAAGTCACAAATTGCCAAGGTCTAAAGCTGGCTGCCAGAGTCTCATGTAGTTCTGACATTGGTGCAAGCTGACTGTCGTGGCCAGTAATAGAGCTAGAGGAAACAGAATCATCTTTGCCTCCTGACCCAGAAAATTAATTCTGCTTTCATTTGTGATGCTGAAGCACACTTTGGATTTAGAGACTATTCTGGTTTTGAACTCTGCTTTTGGTACTTGTATTTTAGCTTTCCTTCGAATACAGGACACTCTGCATGGATTTGATGCTCACGCTTTAGAGATTTGGTTCAGAGCTGGGCATCATTTTTAGCATCATATGATGTGTTCCTAGTGGGCTCTCTGTAGGAAATTGCTCTTGCACAGAAATAAATATTTCTGTTGGAGCTGTGTGTTCATCTCCTGTGGTTTTGCTTTTTTGTTGGCTTAATTACAGGATTTATGTTTTTACGCACGTTTTCCTCTCTGAGAAGTATAGCCTGGGTTAGCAGACTTGCTTTTTAAGGTTTAGATTAGTCCCATGTTTAAATCTGTTTGGTTTTACCTGTTTGAAAACTGATCACTGTAAGGTAGCTCTTGCTGCAGCTGTACTTAGGAAACGAGTGCTTTGCAGAGTGGTAATGCCATGACAATTAGTGCTGGAATATTTGTGCCAGAGGAGGTGGAGGGAAAGGCTTTTAGTATTTACATTATAAAGTAGACACCTAGTTTTGCCCTGATTTTTATATGAAAAACTCATATTAGGAGAGGTATAAATATTCTGGTGCCTTTTAACTGGTGAAGGATTGATGGCATAAGAAGAGTTCACCATAAAAATATCAGTGTGCAATATCTTCTAGGTTGACTCGTCTCTGAGAAATGGTGTTTTAAAATGTAGTGAGCTACTTTACTGTGCATATGATAGTAATAACTTCTACACTGGAAAATGGAAGCAATCATTAATATCTTTTGCCCTTAAACATTCCTTTCTGTATACATATTATCAAAAAAATCGTTTCCCCAAGTATAGCTTTTGATCTAATAAAATACTACCTTCCCTGCAAATTTATGAAGTACCACTAACTTGAAACTGTGTGCATTAAGAAAAAAGAATCATTGATATTTTGAATTGCTTGTAGTGCTTTTAGTCTGCCTAGTGTATTTTTTAATCTTCTGTTTCTAAATATTTAATTATTTTTAATCCTTTTCACTTTTCTAGGTTCGACATGGTGCAGGTACTGGGCTAAGAGAGATACTTAAAGCTCATGGTAAAAGTGGTGGTAAAATAGGAGACAGCTCTTTAGAAGAGGTAAACTACTAGTTCTGTGGACTTAATAAGGTTCTTAAGTGTTCTGTTTTGAACCGAACTTAAAATACTGAAGCTTTGGAAAGGATGGGTGATTTAAAGGAAGTCATATGCAATGAGATACGTCTGGTCAAAGTATGTGGACTGCATAACTACATGAAATGCTAAATTCTTCTTGAAAGTGCCTATAAAAACAAACTACATGTAAGGACTTATTAATAATGTAAATTGTATGTGTACTTTTATTAAACATTAACTTCCTTACTAGAAAATACTAGTTTCAGGTCATGCTAAGGGTAGGTATGCTGAAACACATTTTACAGTGTAAGTTGGTTATGTAACTCTGGATTCCGCCAAAATGGTTGGGCTGTCTAATTCTATCACCTAAATACTAAGCTTATTCCACCAGTTTACTGTTGTCTTACAAGAAGTATTTAACTCCTGAAAAAGTATTTTTCCTTTTAAATACTTGGAGACCGATACTTAATTTCTCAACAATAAGAATTCATATGGAATCGGATTTCAAGTCATACTGACTTCACTGCTGTAAAAGCAGCTGGAAAGGACAGACAGGCTCTTGCCTCCAGTGCTGGATGTGGTTATTGCAGCCTCAGAGTTGCATTCTGGGAGCTTGTGATATAGACAGTAGAGAAGGATGAGGAGATATTTAGCCAGAGGTATGTATTTCAGCAAACTTTCTGTACTGGACAGGCACAAGTTTTCTCTCCTAGCTTCTATGTGGAGCTGTATTCCTTGGAGATTGCAGACTAGTTAAATAACACGCGTTGCAAGTATAAGGTACTCTAAGCAATTCCTTTACTACTCGTGGAAAGAGGGTATTTGCTTCAGGTTAGCTTTAAAGCTGGCCTGCCTTCTACATGCAGGTTGTAGCTCTTTGACATGTATAAAATGTTGTTTTATATTGTTGTTTTAATAAATAACATTTGTTATTTATTAAAACAACATTTGTAAATGTTGTTTATTAAAATCATGGTCTTTCAAAGGGAATGATTACCAAGGAAACCAGCCGAGATGAGGGAGTGATGTCCGAGTAGTTCAGTCTAGTTCAGCTAGTCTAGCAGTTCAGCCTCTGGCACGTCGCTCTAACTTAAAGAGGCCAAAGCTCCAAGACAGAGTTGGTCTAAATTGCTTAGTTAAATCTGGAGGAGGCAGAGGTTCAAAAGGAGTTCCTATTACTGGAGCTCCCACTGTTGTGAGAAATACTGCTTCATAGTTTATCTGTAAATATTTTTCAAACAAGTATTAATTGATATATCTATGCTGTGTTGGCATTTCCCTAGGCAGATCATCTGGATGCCTTTGCCCTTGTGTGCTATGTAGGGGTAAAAGTACTGTACCTGTTTTCTCTATAGGGTTCTCTACAGTCTAGTGATATATACTGCATTTCAAAAATATTCAAAAAAACAAGTAGGTTTTTTGTTTGGGGTTTTTTTGTGTGTTTTTTTTTCTTTTTTGCTTTTTGGTTTTTGTTTTTTTTAAGTGATAAACCAGGTCAGAATTGAATTAAGGTTGGCTCTTCTGTGTCGGCCATCTGTGCAAAAGAGGATGATATTCAGTCAGTCTAAATATGCATTGTGATTTCTTTAATTTGAGTTTAGCTAAAGCAAGTCCTTTATGAATAAATACAGTCAGGTTGTTCAACTTCTCTCTTTACAGATGATTCAGCAGCATCAGGAGTGGCTAGAAGACTTGGTTATTAGACTTCTCTGTGTGTTTGCATTAGACAGATTTGGAGACTTTGTGTCAGATGAAGTAAGTGACTATGGATAGATGAGCAGGCTTCTGTGGGAAATAACTTTGCAACAGATGCACTAAGTTGTGTATAGTACTAGTGCATTACTGTATGTGCCTGCTGTAACTGGCAGATGCTTATTACAAAGTAGCTGATAAAACAGCTTTCCATGCTGCATAGCAGTTCTGTTCATCTGCCTCTGCTCATCTGGGTTTACTTCTAAGTGACGTTTCATACAGAAATACCAGTTTCATCATTTATTTTGTCCTAGGTCGTAGCACCAGTACGTGAGACCTGTGCACAGACTTTGGGAGTTGTGTTGAAACATATGAATGAGACTGGAGTTCATAAAACTGTGGATGTTCTCCTGAAGCTGCTTACACAAGAACAGTGGGAAGTGAGACATGGTGGTCTTCTGGGAATCAAGTATGCTTTGGCCGTGCGTCAGGTAGGAACCCTCATGATAAGCTGTGTAGACCTTTGGAATAGAAAGCTCAAAAAATAGAACAGAAAGCTCAAAGTTGAGAATGAGCCTGCACAGTGGTTAGATGTGACAAGGCAAACTTGCACTGCAGTCTCTTGTGAATTAAGATGTGTGAATGCATCTTCATATCCGAGTTGCACAAATCTGCAGGTATATAGCAGGGTTATTATATTGTTATAACTTCTTTAACAGCTACTTTAACAGCTAAGTATAATCATAACCAGATATGCACAGTCTGTTTTTAATCTACGTGCTATGTTGACATAGCTGACTGCTACAAGAGTTTGGTCTGTTCACTGTATTATTCTGCAAACATTAGGCTTTGTTTTCACAGTTTTACAGTAAGTTAAACTTCATTAAAATTTAACTATAGATTTTACTTCACAAATGGTAACATTTTGAACTGTATTATTTGAACTATATTATTGGGCCTGTAGTTTCTTCTTGTGTAACAAACAGACTTTGTTACAGACTCATAGTGAGTCTTAATTGTTTGACTTACTCTACATTTCTTCATTTTAAAAATATCCTTGATCATTTTTGGCAGGATATGATCAACACTTTATTGCCTAAAGTCTTGCCTGCAATAATTGAAGGTCTCCAGGATTTAGATGATGATGTCCGAGCTGTTGCTGCAGCGTCTTTAGTACCGGTAGTGGAAAGCCTGGTTCACCTTCAGTCTCAGAAGGTGAATGAATGTTTTCCATAAATTCCAATTGACAAATTAACTTCTAATGTGAAAGATTAACTTCTAATTAACTTCTAATGTGTTTTTTTTCTCTTTTATACCATAACATCTTGTGCATCTCTGTCTAGGTGCCCTTTATTCTCAATACGTTGTGGGATGCGCTTCTGGAGTTGGATGACTTGACAGCTTCCACAAACAGTATCATGATCCTTCTTTCTTCCCTTCTAACATATCCTCAGGTCCGAAAATGCAGGTAACTGTTTTTGGTTAGTACTGCTGGTTTGACTGTCAAGTTACTTAAGAACTGGAGTAATAAAATTGCTGTCAAGCCACATTCTAAATAAGTGTTTATTGTAAATCACTGTTTTAATTTTACTCTCACTCCTGCTCAGAGTGAAGGTTAAGACTATACTTTTGCTTCCCCTGAGTTAGTAATGGTCAGCAAAATAATCAAAAAGTAGTAGATATTGCTTATATGTGGCTTTGTTTGTGTTGGAGATGATATCCTTTACTAAAATATCCAATTGCATGGTAGCCCTGTCCACAGACTGTTTCATTTGTCCCCTCTTTGCTTGGAGTTTGACAAGTGATGAAACTGCTCACTTGAGAACAAATTGTCTGTACCTGTAGAAAACTACTCCTGGAATAGCACCAAAGAAAGCTGCAGACTTAAAGTCAATAGTGCAGCCAGTCAGTCTATGACTGATGAAGGTAAACAACAGATTGAATTAAGCTGACTTCTGTTCCAGAAAGGATGGGGGAAAGAAGGGGAGGAAGAAATCTGCCAAAATTACTGGAATGCTCGCTGAAGAAACCAGAAGAAAGATGTTTTCAAGCCTCAATATGTATGACAGGGAGGTTTTTTTGCCCGTTTTTCTAAGGCAAATCTTCCCTATTTACTCCTGTTTTCAGAGTCCTTTTATTCTATCAAATGAAACCTTAATCGTCAAGGGCAATAATTGTTAGCTTTTCAGAATTTATTTCAATTTGAAGACTCTCCCAAGTTCCTCTTTACTTGGGACTCTGTCAAACTAAAGGAGTTACATGCTAGTATGTTACTATATTTTTCATAATTCATGTAGTGAACTTACATCATCTGTGCTGAAGGTAGGTGTCCTTTTATTCTATCAAATGAAACCTTAATCGTCAAGGGCAATAATTGTTAGCTTTTCAGAATTTATTTCAATTTGAAGACTCTCCCAAGTTCCTCTTTACTTGGGACTCTGTCAAACTAAAGGAGTTACATGCTAGTATGTTACTATATTTTTCATAATTCATGTAGTGAACTTACATCATCTGTGCTGAAGGTAGGTGTTTTGTCACTTCCTTTATTTAAAAAAAAGATTGCTGATATGTGAGTTTATGTATGTTAGAACTTCATACCTGATGGAAAATCACCTAGCATAAACAATGATGCTTTCTTTAGAATAAGACTTTCTAACTGATCATGGACCATTATGTTTTTTCCTTCTCGCTACCTCTGTGCCTCTTCATGTACCAGTATTCCACCAGGCCTGTCATGTTGTGTAAACCACAGACTTGTTATGGCTTTTAATACATTTCTTCTCAGGTATGGCTGGAACTGTTAAACAAGGCATCTGTGCAATATGTGGTTGCAGCTGCTTGCCCGTGGATGGGAGCCTGGCTCTGCTTAATGATGCAGCCATCTCATTTGCCTATCGACTTAAACATGTTGTTGGAAGTGAAAACCAGATCAAAAGTAAGTGCAATACAACCTCCCAGACTGTTCTGAGGAAAGCAGGAACCGATTAGCGATGTACTAATGCAGAGAGACTGCTTCTGAAGGGGTTCAAGAGTGGTGGTGTGGCTGCTCTTCAAGTGTGTGTTATCTAGCAGGTTAACTTCAAGTCCGTAGAAAACAGTAGTTCTGTTACCTTTACTGCAAGTTATTCAGAGGAATCCAGTTTTGTTATGTAGTGTGCTCCTTGTAGACTCCTTTTACAGGTTGTCCTGGTGATCGCTTCGCTACAATAACTTCTGCTTAAAGAACCACATTAAATATTGCATTGCTGTTTTATTTCTGAGAAGATGCTCAATGTTTATCAGCTGCATGTTGAGGAAAAGTTGAAGATTTAAGAACTACATCACATGTCTAATAGGACAATGGAGTAATATTAGAGGCTAGATTATTTATAAGGGTTCACTGCTTCTAAAAATCTATTAGCAAGAAGCAATCTGGGTTAGTCCAATCTTTGCAGGCTGTGATGGTTACTGAAAATGTTATTGAATTGCTCTTCTTACACACACATTTACTTTAAACTTCTCAAATTTATGCCATAGGAGAAAGCAAGCTCTAAGCTGCGTCAAGGTCAAACCCAGAATAAGGAAGTGATTCAGGAATATATTGCTGGGGCAGAGAGCATTGCAGAAGATTCAACAACCAGGGATTATGTTGTCATGCGAGCTCGGATGATGGCAGCTAAGTCAGTTTACTGGAAATTTGAAAAAAATATTTAAAAGGAATATATATTCACTGTTCAATTGTTTCTGCTATAATCTAATTATGTGGTTTTCTGGTATCTTCATTTTGAATCATTAACTACTGAGTAATTACAACATTGGAGTAATAGTGTTCTCCTTTTGTCAGGTTGCTGGGAGCACTTTGTTGCTGTATTTGCGACCCGGGTGTAAATACTGTTACTCAAGAAATAAAGCCAGCTGAATCACTAGCTCAGCTACTGCTCTTCCATTTGAATTCCAAATCTGCCTTGCAGAGGATTAGTGTCGCATTAGTAATCTGTGAGTGGGCAGCCTTGCAAAAGGTAGGATGCTTTTTTTTGCAGCAAATAAATTTGACATACTAACTTAATCCATAGCTTGTAATCCACTTTAGTTTGAAATAAAATTTCATTAGAAAACTTAAAATGATATTTATATATCAAAATGGAAATCTTAATAGTGATACAATGGAAGAATAAATTACTTTTTACTAGCTAAAAGCCAAATGTCAGAACTACGATTTGTTAAACGTGTTCACACTTCTCTTAAAACATTAATCTTGAATAGATATATTTATCTGCCTAAGGTCAGTATTTCCTGTTTTTGTGCCTGTTTTTCCTAATGTTCACTATGACTTCTTTTCTGGTGGTAAATGGAAGGTTTTGTTCAGCACCATTCTTGGTTAAAATTCATGGTCCTTCTGAAACCTATTTCAGTTGTTAGTCTACCGTTGAACTGAAACGTGAACAGCAGCAGTGATGTGCTAACTAAGAAATATGAATTGTGTCCCTTTCTGTTTAGGAGTGTAAAACTGTGGCCATTTGCGTGCAGCCACGTTTACTTGGAGTCCTTTCTGAGCACCTCTATTACGATGAAATTGCTGTTCCTTTTACACGAATGCAGAATGAGTGTAAACAGCTCATCTCACTCTTCGCTGATGCTCACATTGACATTGGCAACAGAATAAACTCTAGTGTATTTACAATAGACCAAGCAAATGAGCTGGTAAGTAGAGGCATGTTTACCCTTCTCTTGAGTCTAGTCTCATCTTGAAATACACCTTTAGCATAATTATTTAAAAAACATTTTTTTCTCTAAAATATTGCTAGTCATATGGAATTTTGATCACTGGGAAAGGTAGTCCTTCTGATTTCCTGTGAGTTGTTCAGAACATGATTACTGGTCCTTAGACAATGACCACATTTTAATTCAGTAAAGAATTAAATAAATATTGCAGACAGTAATTTACTTGATTTGTAAAGTTACCTGGTATCTTATGTCAGAGTAATTTTGGGCTAAATTAGGTTATTTGCTTGTAGCATGTCACACAACGACAGAAGTTCATGATGAGACCACAAAATTTGAAGGAAAAATTTGCATGTAGCGGTTCCAATGTTTGCTGTAATAGGCTAACGCTGTATCTGTGCTGCTTGCAAGTTGGTTTCTGATAGTAGAAAAACTTGACCTCAGTATTTAAACTAAAATGGAAATAAAAATTCACACTAATCTTCTCAAAAACTGCCGTCTAACCTATACCTGAGAACCCATGTTATCCTATTTTTAAAGTAAGTTCAATGATTCCTGATACCATGTTGCTAAACAGCCATAAACTGTTTTCTTTAACAGATTTAAGTAGAAATCCACCCATCTGGGGGTGGAGGTAAGAGGAGGACTGGAGCAAGTTCTGCAAATATTGTATTTTTGTTTGCGTGTGCAGGACCTTGCTCATCCTTTCTATACTGTTTTATTAGTAGCATGTTTTTTAACCATCTTGTGCTTATTGATAAACAGCATGTATGGATTTATCATATGGCTACAGGCCAAAACAAATCTCCTTTTAGCTTCGGAAGTCCTGTCTTGAAATGTTTGTCGTATGTCCCATTCTCCCATGGAGCTGCAGTACAAGATTTCAGAAACTGCATTCCTGTTATTTGCTGGGAAAAAGAGACAGAAATATCTGTCTGAAGTGACTCATGTTCTGCTGTGCGAACTGCAGTGCCCAGAGGAGATCCATTTTTTACCATAAATGAAAGTCTCGTAACTTTCTTTTTTAGGTTACGTCTGTTTTCAATGAAGTGACATCATCCTTTACTCTGAGCCCTAAAGTTCTGCAGCAGTTGGATAGCAAACGACAGCAAGTGCAGATGACTGTTAATGAAACAAATCAAGAATGGCAAGTGTTGCATCTGCGAGTCCATACTTTTGCAGCATGTGCAGTTGTGAACTTGCAGCAACTTCCAGAAAAGTTAAATCCTGTTATAAAACCCTTAATGGAAGCTATTAAAAAAGAAGAGAATACACTGGTACAAAATTATGTGGCTTCGTGTATAGCTAAGCTACTTCAGCAGTGCACGCTAAGGTCTCCTTGCCCCAACTCAAAAATTATAAAAAATCTTTGTAATTCTCTCTGCGTGGATCCACATCTTACCCCATTAGCAGCGTGTCCTGCACAGCCTCAGGGCAGCCATGAAAATTCAAAAGGTATGTTGTCTTACTGTGAGGCTTCTGAAGATATGTACATGCTTGTCTCTGAACTGTTAAACAAGTATTTGTATGGCTCTTGCTTTCAAACTGATAAATGTCATTCATTGATTCTTTATTAGTAACTGTATTTTATTCAGGTATTTGTTGCTGCACACTGTGTAGCCTAATGGTGATCTTAGATGTAGAAACATTAACAAGTGCATTTTGAAAGATGCTGATGGCATCTGCTTTTCTTTTACTGCAGAAATTTTAAACTATTTTTTTAAACAAATCAGAAGTTCATTTAAATGTTTGAACATATGCTGTTTTCTATAAAGCTTATGCAGAGGTATCATTTGACTGAAGTTTTAATCTTTTTTGCCACATCTATAGTGTGCTCTTAACAAGGTAACTGCTCTTTATTCTCTCTGTCCCTGAGAACAATGACACCCCTTACCTATTTTTTGTAAAGCCAGTTAAGATCTGCAAATGATTTGTAGGTGGCAGTGACTTCCCCCTGCATCTTAAACTGTAGCTTAGATTGTCAGCTTTTCCCTTCTCTCTTAGGGCCCAACTCTGATAAAGATGGGATGCATCATACAGTTACTAAGCACAGGGGAATAATTACACTGTACAGACACCAGAAAGCTGCTTTTGCCATCACAAGTCGACGAGGTCCTACTCCAAAAGCTCCAAAAGCCCCAATTGCAGATCTTCCCACCGGCAGTACTGGGAGTATTCCTACTGAGCTCGATGAGGTAAAGTTCCAAAGCTTACATCAGTACTTTCATTCCCTCTCTCCCATCTTTGTTAGTGTTCAAATTCATTGCACACAGTAGCATTGCAGCACTCCAGGATTTTTCTCAGAGAATTGCATCCAGATTAAATTCCACGAGGCAAGCAGCATAGGCTAGTTAATGATGACAGCTTATTGTGAATCTGCCAAGTGTTATTACAGAAAACAAAATATGTGTGCATTATTTATTTTACATTTTGTACAGGATATGAATATCTCTGTGTAAATCCATGTAAATGCTTCTTCTCATGGTAAATTCCAGAGTGATCTTGCAGTTTTGAGCTTAGGCAGTGTTTTTTGGGGCTGACTTCCTACTACAAGAATACTTGTTTCTGAAGAAGATTTTTGCTAGAAATTTGATAGGGCACCTACCAGATATTATAGACTACTGTTTAGAAACTTAAATTTGATTGTCCTCTGTTTAAGTGAAACTTGCTTGAAAGCCTATCTGATGTTACTACTCTGTTAAACCATTGAATTCTAGGCTCAGAAACCGTATGTTGTACAGAGAAGAGGAGCAGAATTTGCCTTATCAACTATAGCTAAACACTTTGGTGCTGAAATGGCAACAGGATTGCCACATCTCTGGGATGCTATGGTTGGTTCATTACGGAACAACATTCACATAAACAATTTTGGTAATTGCATTTCTGACTGAGTTGGAGGTTGGGAGCTGGTGGCATTATGTTTATCTTAAACTGAACATCATTTTTTTTTTTTTTTCTCCTAACAGATCGAAAGTCTTTACTGGAAAAAGGAGATGCTCCTGCCCAGGAACTTGTGAATTCTTTACAGGTTTTTGAAACAACAGCAGCTTCAATGGATTTTCAGCTTCATCCTCTGGTAATCATAATCCAAAGCAGTTTTCATAGGAAATGCTTTAATGTGTTCACTGCTGCTATTTTAGATCTTCGTGGCTTTGAGGGGGGCGACTTCTTTGCCTAACTTTGATCAAGCTCTGCTTTTTTTTTTTTGTACTTGATAGGCTGCCTGTTCTTCAAGACTTGTATCCTAGTTTTAGCAGCTGAAAATGTAGCCTTTTTTTCTTCAGCAGTTCTTAGGTGTTTCAAAACTATTACTTGTTGGCTCCTATGGGGTGTTAAACTCTGCATTTGCTTATACTGGTTGTAGAATAAACCACAAGCATCAAGCTAAAACCTGCAACATAGACTTGACTTACCCTTTTCTGGATGAGCTACTGAATCAAGATTGTTTCCAAAATTTAAGTTATGGTACTTAATGATATTTTGCTGTGTTGCATTAAACTGCACAGCTCTGTTATATTCTAGTTCCAGATTTCCTAAACCTGGAGAGCTGACGGATTATATGAGAATGTCTCCTCAGTTAACAAAGTTTACTATCTAAAATCACTAAGAGATATTATGGTGCTTTCATGTAGCTAAGTGAAATGGTTTGATTTTTGGTAGACTGAAATGTAGTTTGTACAATTGGAATGGGGAAATGTGCTGTACTGAAGACTGCAGTTACATAATCTGACTGCTGTGTCAGGCTAAAGGAGATCAGAAAGTAATTCTAATCTTTCTATTTCTATTTGTAGTTTCTATTACAAAAGTAATAGAAAAATAATGAGATACTTCAGTTAACTCCTGAGCAGACCAGATAAGGTGCTTGTTAAGAAATGATTCAAAGACTAAATGTCATGCATAATTGCTTCTTCAATTGCTGATTAGGAAAATACAGCTTTAGGCTTAAGCTATGCTTGATTGCTGGTTTTGAATCTGTGCTGTGTAATAACAGCTACTCTCTACCAGTGTTATAGTTTGTTTAGAACTTGCATCCTTGCATGAGCAACATAAGTCCGAAAGTCTACTGCACTGAACTTAAAAAGGAAAATAAGGAAGATTAAAGCTTATGAAAGAAACTGTAAGGGGCAGACTAAAGAATGAACATCTACAAGGTGGTATGGTAGTAACTTAAAGATAAGAAGACAGAAGCTTAGCGTAGACACTTATCAGAAAAGAAAGTCTAAAGAAAGGAGAATGATAATATGATAAAACATCTGACAAAATAAAATGGATAAATAGACCTTTCGAATATACCACTGTTCAATGCTAAAGACTCTCTTCTGTGCTGATAGGCTCTGGAACTAATGATTTCCACTAAAAAAACCTGAAGTTGCAATAGCTTTGTGAAAGTATCAGCTGAATGTAAAACAGTGGTCAAGAAGCCAATAAGTTAGAAACAAGGAAAATATAGATTTAAAAAATGAAAACGTTCTTGAAGAAAATCCACTAAACACACAAATAGCACTTCCTAGCTCAGGAGTCTGTAGCCACAGATACGTGGAGACTGGAAGAACAGATTGAGAAAGTACCATGCTCTGTTTGCCCTATGCTGCGCTAATTTCTGTTTGTTATATATTGTATCACGCTTACATGTTTCTCAGCAGAATTGGTATTTGGCCTAATTTTTATGTATAGGAAGTATCAGCAGTTTAGGAGGGATTTTCATGTTAGGAAAAGCTACATCATCTGTTTAAGTCGCCTGCCACAGTAATATAATTGTCTGTGCTGATGGATATTAGAACTTAAAGTAACTTGTCTTTATTTTGAAACATTTTTTCAGTCCTAAATCTTGTTTAGGAGGTATTTTACGTATTTCTTGGGAGACAATAGAAGTTTAAACAATACTTTAAAATGGTTCAGTAGTTTGCTTATAGCAGATAATAACCATTTTTCCTCCTACCCTCTTCTATTCAGTTAATTCAGCATTTGCCTCATCTTTACATGTGCCTTCAACATCCCAGCACTGCAGTGAGACACATGGCTGCTCGTTGTGTAGGTGTTATGAGCAAAATAGCTACCATGGAAACAATGAATATTTTCCTAGAGAAAGTTCTGCCATGGCTGGGAGCAATAGATGACAACACCAAGCAAGAAGGTGCAATTGAAGCCCTTGCATGTATCCTTTCTTGAGTCTTCAAAAATGCAGAAACCTGTTCTATATAATATGGGAAAGAAAGGGATTCCTGCTTGAAAAAATAGTTGAAATGTGAATCAAGCAAAATGTTGTTTTTTTTTCCTCCTGTATACAAAGAATATAAAGAGCTTTAATTTTCACTGAGTGTCTTAGGTTTTGGTGTGGAGAATCTAGGTTTCTTCCACTTTGTACTCTATGAAAGCAAGATAAAAAGGAATTAAATTGAAAGCCATTAAAATTCAAAAACAAGAAAGAAATATTTATTATCCCAAAAATGTACTAAGGTCAATAATTAATAGGCTTTTCAAAGAAAGTGAGTGTGCTCTAGGAAAATAACTTTGTCATTACTGAAGCTAGCATAAACAGTTTTCAGATGTGTAAATTTGGACTCCATTACAACATAGAACATTCAGCTGTAAGAGTGTGTGTTTTTTTTTGTTTGTTTGTTTTTTTCCTTTCTTGTGAGTGAATTCGTTTAGTCATACTTCAAATAGAAGGCTCTTGCTCCCTCTCTCCAGACAGGTGTGTTACTGAGGTGAATGGAAATGAGGTTATGGATTCTAATGTATTTTTGCCATATAATTTTTTGTTGTTGATTTTTTTTTTTTTTTTTTTTTTAAGTCTTACGTTGACAGCGAGTCTGATCAAACAGATGAAGATTGGGATGAGGCGGGGGGAGCACCTGTATAGCCTACTCAAGTCTTTACAGTCGAAAATGGCAGTGATTTACTTGCAATTGAACTTGGAATCCTTGGACAGAAATTAAACAACCGAAATAGGGGTAAAGAGTAAGCAGGTGTGAGCGTGTTCTCAAACTGGAATTCACTGAGCTTACCCTAAATAAGCATTTCTGATGGAGGAAGTGGGGAGAAAGTGATCCCAAATGTAACTGGGTAGACAAAACTAACTTTTCCCATTGCTTTGGTAGTATAAATCTTGTTTATCTCTGTAATGCATTTAATGGTAATGCTCAACTGGCCAATTTCATGCTCGATAGGTGTATATATTGATGTCAGACAATCCTGAACCAGTTAAAAAATAAAATTCCTTAATAACTAACCCAGGTGTAATGGAACAGTTGGATGTCGGAATTGTTCCATATATCGTTCTTCTGGTTGTTCCAGTCCTGGGTAGGATGAGCGACCAGACGGACAGTGTGCGTTTCATGGCGACGCAGTGCTTTGCAACGCTGATTAGGCTAATGCCCCTTGAGGTAAGCTCGAGCTGCAAGTACAGTGAACCTGGCAACTCCTCCGTACTCACTTTTGGCAAAGCTGAACTTTCTGGCTCTTAAACTGCTGAATAATTAACTCTCTTTTAATAGGTGTTCAGTCCATATCAGATAACTGAAGAGAGAACCTTTCTACTTAAAAGAAGGAAAATTGAACTCTCTGCCAATTTTCTAAATTAATGCTAGAATAAAATTCTTATGCTAAACGTGGTTTCATTCAACTGTGTATGTGAAGGTAGAATGTATGTTCGCTAATT